ATATTGAATATTTGTTCTTTAGTTTTACATTGGTTTAGACAATTAAAATACATAATCTAATTTTAATTTTCCTTAAATATTTAGTAATGTAACTAATACTTATTAAACTTATTTTAGCATGATTTAGTACTTTTAAATTATGATCATTTTCATTATGACTTTGCAATATTTATTTTATATGATGATTTCATTATTGTTTTTTATTGAATATTTTTGTTCATTAGTACTCATCTCATAGTTTGTGTTATTTTTTTAAGAAACACCTTAGATAATTGTATTTTTGGTTGGACTAAAAGAAATATTTGGAGCACAAGTTAATTATATGTTTGTATTGCAAACTTTACCGAAAAAATCCAAAAATCTGAGGTTTATTAGTTTGGTTTGATTTATAAATTTAAAAATTACGACACAATGGTTTGGTTTGGTATTTGAAAAACCCGAACCAACCCAAGGTTGAAAAACCCGAAAAATCCGAATCTTATTAGTTTAGTTTGGTTTATAAATTTAAATTTTTTACACAAATGATTTGATTTGATATTTGAAAATCCTAAACCAACCCAGTCATATACACACCTAGCTAGAACATCCAAACAATTTAAAATTACAATAAAAGATAAGGTTTTTGATTCAAATGGATTCTTCTAGCACAATTCATACAAAAGAAGAATCAAGAAGCCAATGATGCATCACAAGTTTAATTACTTGACACCACAAAATTTATAGATAAGATTTTTGATTGATCAAATGGATCCTTCTAGCACAATTCATATGCAACTTTATATAACACAAAAATATAATTATCAACCATTACAACATTATTGTGCTAACTCCCAAAAAAATAGTCACAAAAACTATACATCAATGGCTTCTTTACTAATGTCATCTTCATTTCTAGTCCATATCGGAGAATTCAACTACCAAAGAACCAGGAACGAAGGGTTTTCCCCCCTCTCCGCGCATTCAAATAGGAGAAGAGTGCTAAAAGTTAATGCCTTTAATAAGGATGAAAAAATTGTGACAAAAAAAGAGGAAAAAAAGAGCAATGGATCAAGAAGGGAATGGGCTTTTGCCATAATGGCAATAGTAGCAACAAGTTCATTTGCAAGTGTTGTTATAGCTGAGGAACCAAAGGCAAGGACACTTAAGGCAAAGAAAAAGTATGCACCTATTTGTGTCACAATGCCAACTGCTAGAATATGTCACAAGTGAAATTTAGACGCGGATTCGGAATTTAAGTTTAATACGTTTGCAACTTTTAAGATTTTTAGTAGAGAAGTTGTTGTAATGTTAAAATTATAGGTTCAAGTCTGATATAATAGTTATGAATTCGTAGCTGAAAGATTATAGTCATCCCTAGTGAAAGCATTGTAGATTTTTATGTGTAAGTTTTATGTGTGAATCTAAATAAAAAGAGATTTTTCAGTCTCAAAATACTATTCAATTTAGTTCTAAAAATTAGTTAATGAATTTTCGGAAAGCGAATTATGACAAATATTTTGAACCAAAGGAGTAATTAGATATTTTCCCATTTGAAAATACTTTATAAGTATTTTTTTCTAATCTCAATTTATGTGATAGCATCATGCGTCTAAATTTCACGAGTCAAATAAATTACCTCATTTGTTTTATATTACTTATATCCACTTTTTCTTTTACACACACCTTCTAAGAAATCATAAATAAGAAAGACATTTTTACTAATTTCCCCTTTTAACTCTTTTTAATATACTTTATTTATGTACACTATCTATCAATACTAAGATCAATAAATGGATTAACTTTTTTATAGACTTTACAATATTTATATTTTTGAATTAACTATAAGGGCAAACCAAAAAAAATTTAGATTTGTTTTGTTTTAATTTTGATAAATTAACAAATAATTTGAAACAAATACTTTTAGTGATGTAGATACATACGATAACAATAACAACATAATCAGTCTAGAGAGGGTAATATATACACAGATCTTATACTAACCCGTGGAGGTAGAAAGACTATTTTCGAAAGACCCTCGATCCAAAATCTCAAATGCAACAAATTCAGGCACTAACCTTCTACCCTAATACGTGTCGTCATCCACACTCTCTTATCTAAGGTCATACCCTCGATAACATGAAATTAAGTCATATCATATCTTATCCTCTCTTCAATACTTTTTCAGCCAACCTTTGCCTCTACTATACATGTATGACCAACCTCTTGTATCTCCTCACCGTGCATCTATGTAATGTGAATACATAATAATATGAAATCAAGGGAGCATTTTTTTGTCCTAACTTTTATACACCTTTTAAATTAAAAAAACAAAGTGAAATAATTAATACAAAACGATCTTTTATAACCATTTATAAGTTAAAAAATAAAATGAAAATTTCATAATGTGTAAAATTATTATTTCTAATAAAAAAGACTTATTAATTTTATTTTTAAAAAAATCTTTTTTAGTCTTGTAGAGCTGGTTCACTATCTTCCTTTTCCGTTTTCAGCTCCGACCAACTGAGGAGGAGTAGAAATGGCGTCGTCGGCAAGAGAATGGATTGAAGTAGACGAAACGGCGAAACAATTTCTCACCAGGGTTTTCTCAGAGCGGCCATTTCAACCATTACCTCCACCTCTTCATCGCATTCCTCTCCGTCCCGGCAATGTTGTAGAAATCGTCGGTCCTTCTCCTTCTTCAAAAACTCGCATTCTTATGCAGGTAAGTACCGTTAAATAAAACACTATTTATTACTTCTACTTCTTCATTTCTGTTCAGCTACATTTTATAGATGCGAATCAATAATATTGAATCAGTGATTTAATGTGCATATAGGGAGAGTTAATGGTCAAAAACACTCTTAACGTATTCAGTTTTTTGAGTTTCATATCTGAATGAGCTATCAAGTGTGTGAAGTTTCTATTTAAACTATCACTAACGGTTTATTAAAACACAATTCAACTAATAGGTGTGTGAGTTTCATGAACTGAAATATCTCATTGTTTGGGTAGGAAGAATAAACAATTGATAGTTGAGATGTATTTTGATAAATAATTGGTTATAGTTTAGGTAGGAAATGCACAGACCTGATAGTTTAGGCATGAAACTCGAAAAATTGGTATACTTTAGGTGCATTTTTAACCATTTCCTTTTGCTTTGTGGACTCTCACATTTTGTAGTGTTACCAATATTAATCAATTACCTGACTGGTTAGGGTCGGATGTTTTAGAAGTACGGATTCTATGCGACCATTTTGCTCCATATGGGTCTATTTCAGCACCCATGGGTGTGGCCTAGTGGTCAATGAAGTGGGCTGAGAACTAGGAGGTCGTAGGTTCAAATTCATTTTTTCCTATCTATCTTAATCTTGGCGGATAAAATTACCTAGTATTTGTCTCTAGTGGGAGTGGGAGGTGACATGTATCCCGTGGAATTAGACAAGGTGCGTGAAAGCTTATTTGGACACCATGGTTATCAAAAAATACTAATATTATGGGTCTATTTCATACCAATACTAACGAGAAATTTAGGTACTTATCAGTTAAATCTGGAAGAAGATTATTTAATGTTGAATTTGAGAAAAGTTTATGGAAGTCCTAGTTGTGGAAAAGATTTAGGGATGGGAATTGAAGATTTGAAAAACTTCACTTGAAATACACATCCATACCGCTATTTCAATTTTCAGTTGAAGTCCACCAAAATGACAAAGACCAAACTGAGTATTTCCAAATAATGAAATAATATTTCATGAACAGAGGGAAATATTTTATATTGCAAATAAGGTCTCGGAACTCCACACATATTCATACTCTCGATGGACATACAAGTCCCTCAATTGATTAAAAAGAGTCCTGGCAAATATAAAAATTGTTACTGTAGATTTTTTAAGAATATTACAAAAGCATTTAATCCCAACTAGATGGTATCACATATATTATGTCTCTCAAATAATAAGCTTAATGTGATTCTTTTTGGTACATGCTAGGCTGCTATTAATTGTATTTTGCCTAAGGAGTGGAAGGGTGTAAACTATGGAGGCTTGGAGCGATTAGTTATGTTTGTTGACCTGGATTGTCGTTTTGATGTGTTAAGCCTTTCACGATTACTGAAGCAGCGGCTCATTCGAGCAAATGGTAGATATTTTATTCTTGAGCTTGTTTATTTTGTATTTTGGAATTTCATGTTGTTTAGAATATGGAGGCTCTAATTTTATAGTTTAGTCAATTGCTGGAAATTTATGTACTAATTTGTGTTTTCCTGGAACCATATTGTTGATACGGTAATATGGTTTCAAAACTCTCTTTTGTTACTAACAAAAAAGTCTTCCTTTTGTTTTCATTTTTCAATTAATCAAAGTATTTATTGATATTACACCAAATTGGTTGTTGTTTTTACGTAATGTATTAAAAACACACATTAAGCCTCCCAAAAATGTTGCCAATCATCTATGCATAACAAAGTAGACAAAAAGTCAACTCTTGCAACAATGAATCCTCTACCACTTCTAAAGTTTTTGTTGGCAGTCAGAGACTGCTGATCAGCAACAAAGTTGAATCAAATTAAAAGATTCATCACCCTTGAAGATTCGGTACATCTCTCATTATCCATTTCTGAGA